TATGAGATGAAGAAAATATGACATCAGGATTTTTAATTTAAGAAGAGCTGGTTGGATTTTTATATTAAGGATAAGGGAAATATTTAAACACCTAAAAATTGTTGAGCGATATATAAAACAATATTTTTATGTCATTATTCTATTATTCAATTGGATCGTTGAGCGAAATTTATTGACATTTTTATGGGAGATTGTGCAAGCTTTTTGTTGATGAAAAATCTGATAGTTTTTGTCGGGTTCAAAATATATATATATATATATATATATATATATATATTTTGGATAAATGGGTCTTTAAAAAAGATGCACACAACGCATGAGATTTGTTTAGAAATAGCCATCACTTTTACCCTTTTTCTTTTTTTCTCGTTTTCTTTTTTTAGTATGTGAAAGTGGGGGAATTTAATCAGAATTTTTATCGAAAATATATGTCATCACTTCTACTTTCTATTTTAACTATTCACATGTAATTATTAGTGGGTTTTTAGCAAATTTGACTTAAATGTGATATATTTTTAAGGGTAAAATATATTTTTAATCTTTGACAATAAATTTTTATTTGCAAAGTTTTATAAACCAACGTTTTAGTTCCAACCTTTAGAATATGATTCTAAATAAAGTAGGTGGCTCCACGATAGATAGTTGTAACGTATTGCACTATTCTGCCTCCATATCCTCCGTAGCTAGATGCAGCTCTTCTGTTACTCTTGGGCATTTATCTTCCTTCTACTGTCTCTAACTCCTCTTCAATTCCTACAACTAATAGGTCATAAAACTCATCAAATGAATTAGAGTTATTAGAAATATTGATGGCGGAAAACTAAATGTTGAAATTAAGAATATGATTCCATATCATTGAGAATAAAGGAGATTTTGAGTATAGAAGTAAGGTAGCTTCACTAATTAGTATCATTTTTTTTTAGATTACACTTTAGTCAATGAACTTTTAGGTTTATTCTATTTTGATACTTAAATTTTTAAATTGTCTATTTTAATCTTTAAACTTTACAAATTAACTAATTTGGTCTCTGAACTTTCATAACGTCTTTTTCAAACCTTGAACTTTTTGAAAAAAAAAATCATTTTTRTCCTTGGTATATGTATTTTGTTATCCCAATATTCGCTTACCCAAAATACTCACCTCTAACCTATATAATCTAAATACATTCTCAAGTTAGCACATTAGTATRAATACTCCGCGTCATGTTAACAATTTGTTGAAAGCAAAATAAAGGTAAAGTCAAAATTGTTGTATTTGTAAAGTTTAAGTCCCATTTGAGCATGATTTTGTTTTTTAATTTTTAGTTTTTAAAAGTTATAGCGGTTTACTCACAATTTCTTTGGCATGTTTTAGATTTCTCAAAAACACRTTTTGAATTCTTAAGCAAAGTTTGAAAAAAAAAATAAGTTTTTGAAAACTATTTTTTAGTTTTTAAAATTTGGCTCACATTTTGAAAACATTTTTTAAAAGTAGGTAACAATATATATGTGAAAGTAGTATTTATAAGTTTAATTTTAAAAAACTATAAACCCAAAAACAAATATAGTTAATCAAACGACTAAAATTGACATATCTATGAAAATCTAGAGACAAAATACAGAATTTTATCTTTAATACCATTAAATATTTGAAGTTCATTATATTTTTAAAAATTTTTCATTTCTCTCWCTCATTTATCAAATATTTAATAGTTTTAAAGAGTGAAATTTTTTCCATAAATTATACAAAACTTAAACCGAAAAATAAATAACATTGTATCATTGTCAAAATATTTTAACTTTTTAACATAAGACATTGTCCTAMATAAATAGACACAAACAAGCCATTTCAATCTCTTTTAACTGAATTTTTTWAAAAAAAAAATMTCTTTTAACTGTTTACATGAACATCATAAAATAAATATGAATTTTTAAATATAATAGAAAGCATAGAATAATTTAAATAAAAGTCAAACTCAAATAATACGTTATGACAAGTGAAACTTATGTTATATGCTTTTAAAAAAAATGAAAAGATGTGATATTTCTTAAAATACAAATTAGATTTAGGGAATTTGCMATGGATAGCAAAAGATTTACCSATATTTGTAATAATGTCGATTTACCTGATTCAGGTAAAATATTTGAATTTTATTTTTSAAATTTTTATAATTCCAACTTTAACCCTTCGYCAGCACATACCATATTACAGGTATRTCAGAATTAGATGATCATTTTAGAAGYATGTATCAGACATATATTAGTAGTATATTAACTAACATATATAGAGAATCAATATTATAAGTATATCAATAACATATATCAAACAAATATCAGTGTTACATCAGTAGAATAACAGCAGCATGTCAAGCTGGAGAGAAAATTACGAATATAAAAATTACCGAATCATTCATATCCAAATTAATAAGAGGAAAAATAAGATATTATCAACAACTTGGCAAACCTGAGATTAAATACAAAGTGTTTTACATATAAACAAGCTCATTGTCATAACATTCAAAATATAAAAGAAATTATATTATAACATGAACATTAAGAACTAGAAGTTGATACAAGTTTTAAATCTAAAAGACATCGTATTAAATACAAGKTTTCATTCTGTTTGAGAAATCCTTAAGTCAAAACTAGGCTGATCATTATCTACCTTTTTTATTGATGATTGTCGTATCTTTGAGGGTGATTCTTGGCTTTTTGWTTTTGTAAAGACAATACCTTTGGTGTTTGTTTAATCTGTCTTTTTGGACGTGCATGGTCCACATCAACCCGTATTAATTTTAGCTCTTTTTTCTTGTTTGCATATTTGTTTTAATCTAAAAAAAATTAGTAGATATATCAACAGTAAATCAATAGCATATCAGTGATAAATCAATGTTACATCAATTAATGGGAAATGAATAGTAATATTTCACAAGGTAAATCAATAGTAAATAATTGGCAAATTAATAAGATAGATCATAACATATATATTGCAGATATATCAGAGGTATATCAAAATCATATAATCATATTAGAAGTATGTATTAGAAATATATMAGTGGTAATCAACATATAGATATCATAGTTATATCAATAGAATAGATATCATAGCTAAATGTATTATTTTCCTTTTAACTTTTCACCATAATTTGCAATCGCCCCTTAGATTTATAGTATAGCGTGAGTTTGTAATTATTAATGTAGGTATAGAGATCGGACCTTTAACTTTAAACAATGTAATAATTGCGTTATCTAGTGAGCTACGGTGGAATTGATAAGTCATACCACACCAACGGGAAAAGAAGAAAAAAAAAATCCCACACACAAATGAGCATGCAGGTTGATCGAATTGGGAGGGCTGGAAATGAAGGTTCTATATATTCTAAGATATTAGGACTAAAGTTTGTCCCAAAATCCCTTCGCGAATGGGAGACATCACTAACACATTAATTGCCTCTAGTAATCAATGCTATAATTACATCAATATTATTCCACTATATCCAAATAGATGCTTGTGGCTCCCACTACATGCCCTAAATCACACCCTTTTTCTTTTCTTTTCTTTTCTTTTTTAATTAATTTCCTATTGTTAATAATAATAATAACCCTTTACCCATCTTGTTTTAAAAAAATTGAATAGATGATATGTGGAAAACACAAAGAATGAAGGGGAAAGGTAGAGGGTAGAGAATTGAAAGAAGATAGGTAATATAAAATAATAATAATAGAGGGTGTAAGAAAGGAGAAGGTAAAGGGATTTGAAATGCAGGGCCACAGTGAGAGTGAGTCTATGGCATCTTGCTGAAGGGTCCCCACAATATCACTCATAGAAGGCGACCCTTTACTAACCCCTCCACTAATCACCACAATCTCCTCTCCTCCCCAGTTACAAATATATAATTACACAGCGTACACACCTCCCTGTAAAAATCAATTTAAATTATTAACCAACTGGATTTTTGAATTAAAAAACTATCAGATTGCGGTGAATTTGAGTAATTATGATTATGGTTTTAATTAATTAGTTGGACTTTTTGGAGGAGGAGAGAGAGAAGAACTTGAGAATTTTGTTTAGGGGTGGCTTTAGGTTGCTTGTAGGGAAGGGGGAGAGGTGGCCTCATCCATTATTATTATTTGAAATTGAGAATGGAAAATGGAAAATGGAAAAAACAAGAAACAACAAAAGATATAAAAATGCAGCAAAAGTGACTTTATTGGAGGGTGGGGGCCCTAGCATCCATTAACATAAACCAAGCATTAGCCACTAAAGAGGAGATTAGGACAAGTGATTTAATGTGTAAGAGAGGTTGATTAGCCAAAAAGTAGAGGTGAACAAATTTGACTTAGTGGGTAGGCTCAGGAATTAGGAATTAGGAATTAGGAATTAGGATGCCCTTGTCAACTTGTAGCCCAACTCCAACTCCAACTCCAACCCCACCCCACCCCCTCCCATGCTTTGCTTGTGCTCATCCACTTTTTGTTTAATTGTTTTTGGGGTTAAAAATTTATGACCATTTAACTCCACATTAATTAATCAATTTCTTTTCACAACCCAATTAATTAAACCAAACACAATACCCCTTTTCTTTTTAATTATTATATTACAACTAAAATAATAAATAATAATAATTTACCCACACCCACACCCACACCCACAAAATCAACACTTGGACCAAAAGGGAAAATCACATTAAACCCAAAGAAAATGACCTTACCCTTTGGAAAGTAATATAGAAAGGTGAAAGGAATGAAGGAAGGAAGGAAGGAAGGAAGGAAGTGGCCTCGAAGAATTTTCTTCTTTTTCTAAATTTTAATTTTATGTGTGCAAGAAAGTAAGCTTGAAAAGAAAAAAGAAATGCTTCTTTCTTAAATCATAATTAAGAGATTCCATGAGCCTATTTAATTTTAATTAATTATAATTGGGAAAACCTTAATAAGCAGTTATGGGGTCAATAGCTGCAATCTACAAGCATTACCCATTTCTTATTTTCTATATTTTAGAATTAAAGAAAGGGAAACAGCAAACCGATTTGGAAATAAGAACCCAATCAGAGGGCCATTAAAGGCAAATCCCAACAAAACCTTCCCTTCCCTTCGCTAATTCTTCTTCCTTCTTTTTCTTCTCTCCGCCTCTTAACTCTATTCTTCCTCTTTCTCTCTCTATATTACGGAGAAAGATGAACTGACAACTGACACCCTTCCACCAAACGGCGTAACGGACCCCCTCCCCAGAGGAACTCCGTTTACGCCTGCCCCCAGTCCATTAAGACACGTGCCCTTCTTCTTAACGAATAATCTTTTTTTTCTTATTTTATATGGCTTTGCAGCAGCTTAGCCTCGGCCCAACTCCCCTTGACGCCGTCACTAATGGCGTTGACGCCCGGCCGATGTCAACTGACGGCGGAGACGACGGCAGCAAAACCCCTAGGCTCCCCCGTTGGACCCGCCAGGAGATTCTCGTCCTCATACAGGGGAAGAAGGTCGCCGAGACCCGGGTTCGCGGCGGCCGGGCCGCCAGTCTCGCCTTCGGCTCCGGCCAGGTCGAGCCCAAGTGGGCCTCCGTCTCTTCCTACTGTAAGAGGCACGGGGTCAATCGGGGGCCGGTTCAGTGCCGGAAGAGATGGAGCAATTTGGCCGGAGACTTCAAGAAGATCAAGGAGTGGGAGACCCAAATTAGGGAAGACACCGAATCATTTTGGGTCATGAGGAACGATTTGAGAAGGGAGAGGAAATTACCAGGGTTTTTCGATAAAGAGGTTTATGATATTTTGGATTCCGGGTCGGGCCCTTCCCCGTCGCCGGCGCTGGCTCTCGCCCTTGCTCCTGCCCCCGTCCCCGCTCTCACGCCGACCCCAAATTCTGAGGACGGTAAGGTCGAGGCCGAGCCGGAGCCCGTGTTCGACAGTTCAAAAACTGCGGCGGCGGACGATGGTTTGTTTTCCGATTTCGAGCAGGACGAAACCAGCCGGAGCCCCAACAAGGAGGTTCCGGCCACGACGGCCGACACCGCAATTCCTGCTCCTACACCTTTATCAGGTAATTGGGTCCGGGAAGATGAGTCAATTCAAATTTCAAATATCTCTCGTTTCGTTTAATTATTGCGAATTCTCATCCTACGACCGAGCGTGGTCTCCCAAAAATCGGGTTTCAGAAAATTAACTGATAAATGTTTCTGGCTGGTTGCCATGGGATTCTTGCAGCTTTCTACGCCAATTATTCTGTTCTCCACCTCCCACGCCTTTTAAAAAAAAACCATTTTATATATTCTGTCGTCTTGGATTGTTTTTTAGCTGCCTCTGTCTACCTTCGCCCCATTACTCGAGGAAGATTTAAAGCTCCATTCATTTCTCATTCCACTTTCTTTCCCTTTGATTTACAGAGAAGCTGTACCAACCTGCTGTACAAGGTTGCCCTGATCAAGGTGAGCTAAAAGCATAATTCGAATGCTTACATGTGGATATATTACTTCTGTGATTTTGTTGTTTGTCTCATGTCGGAAGAAACCCTTCCTCCGGAACCCAATGTTTGTTCATAATAAATGTTGCTGTTTTAAGGTTCATCCAAATCTTTCACTCAGAGGATGAATGAAAAATAGCAGTTGTTGATGAACTCCTGTGTTCACCGACTGCAAAGATCAGTTCTTTTTTTAGTCTTTGTTATCATATTAAATTCTGGATGAATGTTCTATCTTWGGCGCTCCAAATTGCTGATTTGATATTCACCGACTGCAAAGATCAAGTCATTAGAAACCTATCTTCTTAGATTGCTGATTTGATATGTTCTATTCTATCTTAGGCGCTTCAAATTTTCAGTCAGAATCCACCCAAGTACTATTTTTTGGTACCCACTGATCTTTTGTGTCTGTACTTTCGTGGATCCTAATGTTTATTCCCCTCTTTCCATTACCAACCACTCGGTTCCCAAAATCTTCAAAACATATTATGTTATGATAATGGAGTTAATTTAGACGATTCTGCCCATCCTACTACTTTACATGTATATCACGGTCAGTTTAAGGGTCTGTTTGTTGAAAAACTTGGATTAAAGTTTTCTGATCTTCGAACCATAGACTTCCTTTCATCTGCAGGCTCGAGGTCTGTCGGTTTTACAATTCACTACTTTAAATCGATTAGGAAGGTGGGCTTCTATCTACGAGAAGTAGGTTTGTTTGTTTTAGTTAGACATGCTACAGAATCCAACATTATGAAGAGAGATGGCTGGTTTCTGGTCCTCTAAATTCCCATATTATTGCCAAGAGTTAAGATAATTCGTGATGATCGATTGAGGCATAACTTATTCTGAAATCTGAACCCAATTTGGTGTGCAATAGGTACATCAAACGACAGAGAAGCAGCAGCAAATCCAGAGACGGGATCGACATCGCAAGAGGGACGGAAACGAAAGCGTGTTGCATTGGATGGAGATGAGGAGAACATCCTGCAGGATGAACTGATTGGCATCCTAGAGAAAAACGGAAAACTGCTGACTGCCCAACTCGAAGCTCAAAACATGAACTTCCAGCTTGACCGAGAGCAGCGGAAGCACCACGCTGATGGCTTGGTTGCGGTTCTTAACAAGCTTGCAGACGCTCTMGGTAGGATCGCGGATAAGCTGTAGTAAAGCAGGCAATCCAGATGAGTAGATGTACATAACAAACAACATTTTTCTCTCCTGGAGCATGATAGACACATAAGATAGGTGGTAGCAGAAGAAATTGATGGTGAGGATTGATTGATTGATTAGTTTCAAGGTTTTCTCTTCTCTCTGATATTTCAAGTTTCAGACTGCCTTTATGCCAATTTAGTGGAGAATTTAGAAATTATAGGTTCCCATACACACCATAAAATATAGAAACTGGAGAGTTATATTACCACATTTTCTGCTCTGCCTTTTTTTCTYACATGTATTTCTAGTTTTATACGGATTGAAATATTTGTAAATCTTATTATTTATTTTCATAAGACGCATTAGCTCATACATCATTTCCATTTTTGCCAAACTAGTTCTTTTTCTTCCATTTTCTTGTAGACTTGTCTTTCCTTTTTGGATGTCTCGTTTCAGTTATACAGATTCACTGTGGATTTGAATGTTCTCGATAGAATTTACAAATTATTAGTTAAATGGATAACTTATTACATTAAAAATCACAAAAATAATCGAATGCAAGTGATGCGTGAGTCATTATTCAGTAATTATTGAGTAGAATTCAGTAACTACATAAAAATATCTAAMYTTTTTTTTTCTTTTAAATTTTAATGTATACACTTTAAAATGATGCAGAGTATCCATAAGAATTAAGAATAGATTAAGAAAGATGGTGAATAATAAGGTGAGATATGTAAATCATGAAGCAATCTTAGAAGAAACTGAAAGGTGAAGGCAACAGAGGATAAGACAAGAAAGCCAACTAACTTTTATCCAATATATATGTGCATAAATAAATGCTATTGTTGTAATAAATATTTAATAAGCTAGAGTATAAAATATAACCAATTGATATCTTTTAATTGAATTAACCAATGGCTGTTCTTGGACCTTACGTCTACGCTTCTGCCATTTCGCCCTCGCTCAAATGAGGTTAATAAGATAAGCTATGCGTTTGGGGCCGGGCAACAAATATTTCAACATTTAAGGGTTTGAGTCGTAAATTTAATTAGTTTAAGTGATTTTGACAAAGCAATAAATCTAATCTTATTATTTTTAAAACTAAATAAATAAATCTAATCTTATTCCACCACGTAATAATATTTAACTTAGGTAAGCTACTCCACGTCCCATTCCCTTTTGCAAATGGGGTGGGCTGCATCACTTTTTTTTTCCTCTCTCTATAATGCTTATTAGAGAAAAAGGTCAGACACCACACCTCCTATTTCTTGGAATGGGACTACTTCTAACTTTAGGACGTTGGTTGAACTAAAAACTATTTTAAGTCATTTAAAATTTTAAATGACAGTATCCTAAACCTTAGGTTAAAACATATTTTTAGCTCTTAAATATTATAATAACCTTTTTTTTTCCTTTATTTGAAGAGCAAAACACCAAAAGAAAATAGAAAATTAGAAACAACCTCTTAATTGCTTCGCACGCTCCTCTACGAGACAAGATTCTTAGTATTATGTTATCTCTTGAACTAGCAGCTCATGTATTCATGTAGGATGAGTCTCAACTTCAAAAAGTAAAAACTTGACTTTGTAGTCACAATGAGACTCCCTTAAAGGATTTAATTATTACATTTTTAGAATACAATAACTAAATTTGTGACTCAGGTGAACTTAATATTTACATTTTTTAAACATATTATTGTTTTGTTATATACCAAAAGGAAAGATAACTATAATACTCCARGGACCAACAAATTATTTTCTAAACTGTTCCAAGAACGGGAGATTTCAAAAATAATAATYGGAGTATAAATAAGTTCACCAAATTCCTTAAGTTGTCTTCTTGCTCACGATGTGACCATGAAGGAAGTTCCTCCATCCATATCTCATTGTGTTGTTCAATTTTAGCATGGGAAGTGAGTGCATGAACAATTCTACTGGCGTTTCTAGAGGTGAGTATGACTCTTTCGAATTCTCTTATTCTCATCTGACTTGTGATTTCCTCGATTGTGGGTTGAATTTCATTTTCATAGTAGTCTTGCCCCATTACAAGATTGTAAACAATAGGACAATCAGTTTTGCAAATTTGTCATTCTTTTAAGGTCAAATTCAACATAACATGTCATCTGATAAGCTTGTTCAACCGTTGCTCCAGTAGAATCGAATAACTATTCCCAGCCTAATGAATCTATTGTTAATCGATGTAGCAGTGTTCATTATGTATGTATTTTGTTTTGGTGCCTTCCATTCGACATTGTGATTGTTTGAGAACTTATTGTGCTGGTTGGTGAGCATTATTGCTCCGTTCATTTTCTTTTGTGCTGCTTGAAACTYTCCTGCAAAGAAAATAGCTCTATTGATGGGATGTTCAGTATTTTTCATTTGTTGATCGAAAACGTGTTAACTTGTTCTCTTATATAAAGTTGAGAGACTCCTAAAACATATGTGTAACTCTATCATATCATTCCATAACGTGACTGGAAGGTTTGAAAGGTTCCTACTTCCTAGCGTTTGTCAAAACAATTCTTTTGTAACAGAGGCCATCAAATTAAATCACAGAGGAATATCAATAAAAATATCTGTATTTTGTTGGCCGTACAAACACACAACACATGTGGAGCCAAAAGTAAAAAAGGCGCCGAATCAAAATTTGGATTTGAGGGCTTCCTTGGAATGGTCCTTTGGATCAGGGAAATGTGGACTGGATGCTCTGTTCTCCTTGTTCTGTGTCTCCCAGCTGCTACTCTTTCTCCTCACCACCAGAGTCTTTCCCCCCTTCTCCACTAATCAAACCGATTTCAATTTGGTTTTTTGTTTGCGTTAGTCTCAGACTCACATTCCTACCTTTTTCCCTCTTTTCTCAATCTGAAGCTGCTGCATCCTTTTCACGGAACAGCCTCTGTAATGAGCTAGCGAAGATTTTATAAACCAATTTCTGTCAGGTGGAAGCTCGTCTTGATGGGGTTCCTAATGCTCGCATATATCACTCTTCTCTTGCTCTTCATACTTTCGTTTCCTCTCTTTTCATGCGGAGGGTTTCAAACCCATGCCCTTGTTGCTTCCTCCGACCATCTCGTGCCATTTCCTGAAACTACTTCCCATTTCAAGAATGGGTTTCAAAGGATTCTCCTCAGCGTCGCATTAGGCGTCGTCACTGGATTCGCCGGCGCTTTTCTCTCTGCTTGGTTCATCCGCACCCTTGTGAGTTACCTAAACAGAACCCCACTTCTTGAAGGACCCCTAATATTTTCCCCCAAAATCGACCCCGACGCTCTCCAGTCAGCGCTGCGGAACGAGACCCAGTTGCTCGGTTCGAGTTCGAGCCCACACGCGAAATACTACAGGGCCATTCTCGCTAATGGCCTCGCATTGGCGATCAAGAAGCTTCAACCCATTCAATGCAGAAAGGCGGAGGCACGGCGGCGGATGCAGCACCAGCTGGCGGTTCTTGCCAGTTTGAGGCATCGGAATCTGATGACCTTACAGGCCTACGTCGGCGAAATGGGCAGCTGCTGCTTGGTTTATGACTTGGTGCCCAATGGTTCTCTCGAGGACGCAATGAGGAAAGTGAGAGAGAACCAATTGGAACTTAAGTGGGAGGTTCGGCTGAGAATTGCTGTTGGGATTGCGAGAGGGCTTCTGTTTCTCCACTTTGAATGCGACCCTCCAATTCTTCACCGCAATTTGAAGCCTTCGAATGTGCTGTTGGATGCAGAGTTCGAACCAAGGTTGGCTGATTGTGGGTTAATCAATCTCGTGCTCAATTTTGATAGGCCACCTTCTTTGTACACCGCTCCCGAGTGTCTTAACAGCTCCAGGTAAATCTCCAAAACCCCAAAGTTCCAAATAATAGAATAATGCTCTAGTCCCTGTCTCTGAAAATGCAAGAAATGCTTTTGGATATAGTTCGTTTAAGTTCATTTAGTTGGGTTCTTTTCTATTCGCATTACATGGCTCAGCTAGCTCTACTGATACTGATGAGATATTAAGTTCACAATGTTGATAAGATATTAAGTTTAGCTGAAGCTTAATAAACATCTTCAATGCCATCTTCCCTTTGTGCAAGAATGGTCGTATTCCTCTGATTTCTAGGTGAGAAACTAGGAGTGGGTTTTAGTTGCATACTTAATCAAAAGCTAGAAACGTATCCAATGGTGGTGTTGACCCTGAGCAGGTATACTGATAAGAGCGACATTTTCAGCTTTGGGGTGATACTGGGCATTCTGTTAAGCAGTAGAGATGTGATGGAGCAGTCGTCATCGGACGGGGAAGGCGAGGAGACTGGGGAAGCGGCGGTGGACGGAAGCATAAGCTTTAGAGAAGAAGGGGTGGGAGAAGATGAGATGGCGTTAGCATTGAGAATTGCTGGTGTGTGCGTATCAGATTTGGCTGAGGACARACCTTCCAGCGATGAGTTACTTCTGATGCTGACCCAATTACATTGCTTTTGAAGCAGTTGGGTCAGTCATACAGAGATATGAAACTAAAAATGGGTTTTTGCGGCCACCATTGATTGCAGATAAGGTTGAGAAGGCGAAGGGGATGGCATTAAATGGAGTCTTGCCCTGCACTCAAGACTCGAGACTTAGACTCAAAGCCCATGCGGCAGCAGAGGTGAGAGACATGCTCCAGCTCCATAATAGGAGCACCTCAACTTCCGAGTTCTCACCAAATCCCATGTCCTACTCCTGTCCCAAAAATGCTTTCATCTTCTCAAACTTCTCTTTTTAATGATACTTGGTCATGGAAAATCATTTCTGTCCTGAATGCTTAGGAAAAGGAAAAGGAACCTGTGTGATATTTGTTTGGAAGTCAAAATTGAGAAACTCACGTGATGTGCCACATGAGATTTGAAYTCATTCTCCAAAAGTTTCTTCACTTTATTCACATGCCCCGTTGCCAATGAGTCKACTCATGATGGTTATATTGATTCAATTTGATTTGTTAGTCCAAGTCAAATTGGCTCGCTAACAATTGACATCGATGAGTTTGAATCTTGGCTTTGCTAATTATATATCCCTTGATAGAATTATTATTTTAAATGATCTACAATACATGCTTGCTTCAAATGTGGCAAATTTTCAGATATTTAAGCTTTAACCGAATCACAAGCAATACACATACATATAATATCCCTTCAAGAATGTTCGTGATAAATGATACACGAGACAAAAATCTAACAATAATACATCCATTCAAGCTTTCGGAACCACTCATTTATTCAAGGAAAAAGAAAGAGAAAATGGTAGCTTTCAGCTCTACATTATTGGTCCAAAACCTTATCCAGTCACGAGGTATCTTGCCACCTTTATCTGCTTAACCTTATAAATCTGGAACCCTCTCACAGATGCATCAAATTCACAGCAGATTGAGATTGAAGCACCACCTTCATGATGCAGTTGCAGGCAGCTCTTTCCCTAACACCTCCTCCATCATCATGCTCCCTCCTAGTCCTCCCACCAACCAAGCAATTGGCTTTCCCAATACCAACCAGGTCCATCCCAAGGCACCCCGCCCTAAAATCCAAGGCCAGTGCGGTTGGAAAAGACCCTTCAACTGTCGACTACACTTCCACCTCCTCGTAAGCCACCCATAATCRTTTCTTTTGTCTCATTCCATACGCTTCACTTCCTCATCTGTCTGTTTTTGCAGTGTTTTTCCAGCAGAGGCTTGTGACACTGTTGGAGGGGAGGCTTGTGATGTAGAAATGTATCCTGAAGTAAAGCTAAAACCAGAGACCAAGAAGGGGAGTAGTGTTTCAGAGCCAGTTGATAGAGAGTATCTACAATATGACAGTCCCAAGACGTAAGATTTCCAACACCACACAACCAACCCATTCCTCCGAAACAACCCATTTTCTGTATGMAATTTTGTTCTTAAATTTTAATGATTGCTGCAGAGTCTTTCCAGGAGAGGCTTGCGATGATCTTGGTGGTGAATTCTGTGATCCAGAGTATCAAAAAGGAGTTTACTAGAATACCTTATTGGGAACTAGGACCTGTAAACAAGGGTTGAGTCCAAGGTCGTCTTTCAGTTCTTTTCTTTTTTCCCCCTCTTTGCTGACTTTCTCTTATGCTTGTAAATGATTAATGACTATAAACTTCTTCGATACCGCTCAATACTTGATATTCTAGAACATAAAGACCATATCTTCTTAGATTAATGCATGGTAGCAGCACAACTAAGGGAGTTCTTTTTTATCAGCTGAAGGGTAATAATCTTTCGTAAATCATTACTCAAACTGCCTGATCTTTTAGTGGGAAAATTGAAAAAACTTCAAGCTGTTCTGAGATTGAGATGTCGGAAAGCTTGATTGACTAATGACTAGTGAGCATATACAGATCAAAGTTAACCATCTGTCATAAAAGTCATATAGAGTCATAGACACTAAGATTATACGATAAAGAAGCTGATATCAGAACATTGTTCTCTACAACAAATACTAATTTATCAACAGTAGCATTGCGTAGAAGTCCTGTAATGAATAGGGCAACAGACATACTTACAAATGAAGTACTCGAGCTGCCAATAAATTCATTGYTCACCACTGTCCTCAGAAATTTCGTCCAAACTCAGGAACTGAAGGGCAATCGAGTACTTTGCACCTCTAGTTCTCAAACAACAGTCATTTCCACAATTGTTAATACTTCTCATAAACCATCCAGATCCATCACCTTCAACATAAACCAGAATTAATTCAATAACAGAAGGTCAAATAACAAAAGCATTGCTTTGAATTTGGAACGAGTAGTCAGTCAGCTGTAAAGCTAACCTCTAATGGTGAAAATGGTTGGAACCCATCTCTTATATATGAAGATCAACCTAGGGGACTCTCCGTGGTGTGTATCAGACAACACAAGCTTACAAGGCCTACTTCGACTGAAAATTTTGCAAGTTAGAAGCAGCACAAATAAGGCTTTCATCTAAGAGAATAATTTATTCATTCAGTTCTGAGAGATGCAAACCTACTTCGCTATGCTCACAGCATTGTGACAAAGAGCTAGAGTTCTAACCATTGCTAAGTCTCTTCCACGAGGATTGGCATACTTTTCTTGGCATCGCCTTTTAGATAGAAGGTGAAGTGAAAAGGAGGTATATAAACTTACAAAAAACACACAGTAATGCACAGCGTACTAGTGATGGAAGTGAGAAAGATAAAAGAAGTATGGGAGAGAAGAAGACCGGTCCATGAAAAAGTCTCCAAAATCATCAATAACAACTGCCGCAGGAAGTGTACTATGCAGGTGAAATGCAGAGAAGTACTTCTTAATTCCTTCGTCGTCTTCCAAATACCTTGAAATTCAGAATTAGAAAATATGGGCTCAGGTAAAGTAAATATTACATCCTTAATTTGGATGAAGGATGAACTGGTCACCGACTTCATTTGTATGCGCTGAAAGGTTTCGGAGGCTGGATCAACTCCCTGGATGTTAAGCCCAAGTTTCAGTGAATGCGCAACATTCTGTTGTATATAGTACAACCTCCACAGAAATAGAGAGAAAGAGAGAGAGAGATGCCTGGGAGAGATATGGAGGTTTGTTCTCTAATTTGCGGCGCTTGCAGATGAAGGTTACATTTCCCTCCAGACCCAAATTAAAAGCAAACTGAAAAAGTAAGGAGGTCTTTCCGCTGCGAAAATTGAAGGGAATGAAACAAGCATGATTTCAATTCAACGAAATGAAGAAGAAACGAGAGGTAGGGAGTACCAGGAAGGAGGCCCTGAAAGAAGCATGATCGAGTGGGAAGAGTCGCAGTGAGAGTGGATTTGCCGCACCGAGAAGAACCTCTCCATCCTATTTCTCTTCAAWGTTCAACCATAACAACAGCCAAATGCACAGAAACTGAAGCGGATGCTATAATAGCTGCATAAGCCATGGCGGAGCCTGAGCCTAACAAACCTTTCTTCTGGACCTTTATCATCTAGGGCCGGTCCACATTTCCTCAAAATTAAGTAAAAATTTARGGCCCAAAACCCATACAAATACCAAGTCTAACGTTTTCTTTCCCCTTTGCAGGATTACTAACATGTGACATTTTTCCTCTAATGAAAAAATTCTTGTGTTCCAATTTCAAGGTTCATTTTCTGTCGGATTTCCGCGAGCACAAAAAAACCCAAAAATTTTGGTTTTTTTTTTGCAGTACTTAGAGGTGCAACTGGCCTGTACATGAGTAACTTTGATTGCAACCAAAAACAAGTTTGATCGCCTCATCCTGTGAATTTTTCTGCATATGTCGACCATTAAGGTTTTTGTTTTGTGAGATTTTGGAACAAGTTCGAGGACACTATTGAATGTATTCCATACTTCATTCGCAATGTTCTATACCCACCAAGCTTTCGTCGGTAGTAGCTCAGGATAGGATTCCGGCATTGAAATCAGCAAAATTTGCTCAAATTCCTTCATGGGTATCTTTGAAAAAACGCATTCCTTACCCGGAGAATTTTCAAGATGGCCAAGTTGAAAACGTGCATCTAATTTCTTTAGCAAGAGATGGGAAGCTCAAAGAGGTTCGAGAATTTCTCGAAGCATTGAATGGGGCGGGCGTTTCTGTTACTGCCAAAACATTCAAATGCCTTTTCGAAGTGTGTGGGAATCTGAGGGCTCTACCGGATGGTAGATTCGTTCACCACCTGCTGCAGAGAACCGTGAGCAACCCACCTGGTTTCCTTCAGAATTGTGCTCTGAAGATGTACTGTGACTGTGGTAGCTTTTCAGATGCACGGAAAGTGTTCGATGAAATGCTCGAAAGGGACTTGGTGTCATGGGTTATAATGATATCTGCATATGCGCAGCATGGGCTTCTCAATGAAGCTTTACAGTTGTTCTTGTCAATTCAGGCATCAGGATTTAGACCCAACCAATCCATTTTTACAAGCCTCTTAAGGTCCTTTGATGATCCTTCTTTCTTAGACCTTGGCAAACAAATGCATTCTCATCTGGTTAGACATGGACTTAGCACAAATGCCTCGATTGAGACTGCAGTCCTGAACATGTATGTCAAGTGTGGTTGGTTAGAGGGAGCTGCGCTCGTCTTTGACAAGATGACTGCAAAAAACAAGGTGGCTTGGACTGGATTGATGGTAGGATACTCTTCAAAAAGTGACAAACTGCAGGTTGCACTAGCACTTTTCGAGAAGATGGTTTGGGAAGGTGTCGAACTCGACGAGTTTGTGTTTTCAATTGTCCTCAAGGTATGTGCTGCTTTGGAAGATTTGAGCTTGGGGATGCAAATTCATGGTTGGAGTGCTAAGCTTGGGTTGGACAGTGCAGTCTCTGTGGGAACTCCTCTTGTGGATTTCTATGTGAAATGTGCAAGTTTTGAATCTGCTTTCAAAACTTTTGGGAGAATACAAGAGCCAAACGATGTTTCGTGGAGTACCATCATAACGGCATATTGCCAAATTGGTAAATTTGATGATGCCTTACAGACATTTAAAACTCTCAGGAGCCAAGGTGTGGTTTTGAATTCTTACATCTATACTAGCATTTTTCAAGCGTGTTCTGCTCACACGTGTTTTGATATTGGTACTCAAGTTCATGCTGATGCAATAAAAGGGGGGATGATTTCTTATTTATACGGAGAGAGTGCAATGGTGACAATGTACTCCAAATGTGGCAGATTAGATTACGCCTTCCAAGCCTTCAAATCATTAGACAAACCTGATACTACTGCTTGGACTGCTATAATATGTGGTTATGCATATCATGGCTATGCTTCTGAAGCTTTGAGGCTTTTTACTGAAATGCAGGTGTCCGGTGTTCGGCCAAATGCTGTTACGTTTATTGCAGTTCTGACCACTTGCAGCCATTCCGGCTCGGTAAGAGAAGGCAAGAAGATTTTGGATTCTATGAGTACTATATACGGCGTAGAACCTACAATTGATCACTATGATTGTATGGTTGATATATACTCTCGTGCGGGCCTCCTAGATGATGCCCTTGAGTTGATAAAGAGTATGCCAGTCAATGCCGATGCGATGAGCTGGAAGAGCTTGTTGGGTGGGTGTTGGATCCACAAGAACCTCGAGATCGGGAAGACTGCAGCAGAAAACCTCCTTTTGCTGGACCCAGAGGACACAGCCAGTTATGTAACCATGTTTAATTTGTATGCTGCATTTGGGAAATGGCAAGAAGCAGCTCGTGTAAGAAAGATGATGGCTGATAAGAACTTGAAGAAGGAACTCAGCTGCAGTTGGATTACCGTTAAAGGCTCAACGCACAGGTTCATAGTAGGCGATCGACACCATCCTCAAACAGAACAGATATACTCAAAATTGGAGGAATTAAACTTCGAAGGTAAGATTGCTGAAACCGCACTTCTAACAGAAGAGGATTTGGCATGTGCTTTTCCCAATCGAAAAGAACAACTTCTGGTTCATAGTGAGCGACTTGCCATAGCATATGGGCTCATATCGTTGCCGATTAAAGCTCCCATTCTGGTTTTCAAGAACCTCAGAGCATGCARAGACTGCCATGAGTTTGCTAAGAAGGTCTCCCTGGAGACAGGTCGCGATGTAATTGTTAGAGATTCAAACAGATTTCACCACTTCAAGCGAGGGAAATGTTCTTGCAATGATTACTGGTGATTGAATCGTGTTAACTGAGTTAAGTTTCAATTAAATTATCAAGACTTTGCGAAGAAAACTCTCTTCAAACATAAGTCATGACCTCGGTAGTCCATGGTAGCTTTGCTTCCAGAGGGTGAGGGTTAACTTCAACCGGGTAGTCCATGGCAGATTCCCAAATGTTTTATAAGCTCAACTGCTCAACCATCAGTAGACTAACTTTGCTTCCAATCTACCTTATAAATTTCTTGTATTCCTTGTATACTTTTATCTGAAAATAATGTTTCAGTACAACGACAGTAAGGGTGTTGTGAACTTGAACCAGAAAGTGAATTTCATATCAGTAGTTGAGTGCGTGACATATGTATCATATTGGGAGAAGAAAAAGAAGGTACATCAACATATGAGAGGAGGAGAAATAAAGCTGCAATTCCCTTGTGATGTTGTAGCCATAGCCATAGCCATATGAAGAAGCAAGGCGTCAGTGTGGTCAAATAATCAAATAAATGCACCAGCACCACACACTCTTAATTGGAAACGAGAACTTGGAACCAGAGCGACGCATTATTTAAGGATATGTCATCTCACGAGCAGAACTCTTCAAGTGTTCTCTTTTCGCGATGCTTCCCACATTCTACGCTCAATCCCCAACTTCCTGAGTTCTATGAGGCCTTGCTCAACTGAAAACGAGAAGAAACATGAAAACGAGAGAGTAAGAAAGGTAAGAATATGAAAGGAGACCAAGTATAGGATTTTTTGCAGCACGACATTACTAACTCTCCAGGTAATATGATCTAAATCAATCCCTGCAAAGTTAGTCATTGAGTTCTTCAGAACTTACCATCAACAGCATCATGGGATGAAGGAGAGTGAGCAGTGCGACTAATCCAGAACTGAAGTCGTTCTTTTGCAATATCCTCTTCAATACCATGAGCTTTGGCTCTACTCCAGAAATATGTAAGCCATGCCTGGATGTCAAAAATACTCGCATGCATTATTATATTGTTCATGGCATAAGTATGCATTATAAAAAAATTAACAGAAAACTATGGAAATTATTTCGTCCCACTTCTTATTTAGTTATTAGCCCAACAGAAAACTATCACAAGTTCTTGACAGCTCCACTCGTTACCACCAGAAGATTCACCAAAGCTTGTACGAAGGTTGCTTTAACAAAGTTTCTTCTTTTTATTTTTTCTTAATAGAAAACTGAGTTTCATTAAGAAACACGAGAGTACAAAAAGACAGCTAAACAAAAGGAGTCAAACAAATATATTTGGAACCACCAAAAATCCGGAGGACCAGACTAGAAGCTACTGTCTCGGATACCACATAACCACCAACAACATCAATTGGTTCTCCCATCAGAGCCCGGCATTACCAAATACTAAGCCCTGACCCCATGAAATCCGATTCCCTGACAACGGTGAGAGATTTTCTTTCATGAAAGTTTGTTTCAAGAAAAGGTGGGGAAGTAATTTCCCTCATCTTCCTTAAATCAAATTAAAAAAATTATTATGGCACCTCAAAAATATTCGGTTCATCCATCATCTACGTTAATTTTTTTGATAAGAATCCAGAATCCATCTACATTAATGTCAGTACAAAATTCAAAATATAACAATTAAACCGTTCTCTAAYTGGAGTGAGACATTGGTAAGAAAGCCCCGGAATATCCACGGCCTGATCGAGGGCCTTGTTGCTTTCATCTGGTAGATAAGGCTTGCGAAAGAGACCTCAGTAAGTCTAAACAAAGGTGCTCTGACCAGACAAAGGTCAAAGATAGTTGCTTGAGTTAAGTGACAGGGGGCATGTGGTTGTATGAAGGGCATTTCGGTATTTTGGTGTCCCATGAAAAAAAATAAATTAACAGGGGATTGAAATGTACTAACTTGTTGAAATAGTTCAGCATTTATTTTTTACAGAGAGAAGACTGTCATCAAATTGACATAGTCTAACCATTCAAAAATACCAGCTATATGTCATGCTATAGCAAACTAGGTACAAAAGAGAACAAATTAGGGAGAATGAAAGGACCTCTTTAAAAAGAACATCCTCAGATTCCTCTGGGCTCAATTCTGAAATAGAACACTGATTCAATATTAAAGTGATGAAGAATACATAAAAAGCTTAAGGATAGGCTCAACTATTGTTTCATAAGTCAAATTAACAAGCCCAACTCGAAATGAAGAGTATTCAAACCTATGACCATCCCATGGAAATGAAATGCATTCATGCTTATTATCAATGTCACATAATTAAACAGCGGGAGCAATTCAATGAGAAAGTTGAGCAAGTTTTATCCCCTTCGAATTTGACAAATATAGAAAAATGACATACCAAATGCGTCCATAAACTTAGGATCAACTGGCGATTTGATATCTGCAAAATTAATACAAGTTGAAAAGTATTCAGCAAGATACTACCAAATGTGGGATTCAGTATTTTAAAGTTGGTAATTCGTGCCATCCGTGGAGGAATCAGATATGACATAATTCTTCTATGTTCCAAGAATCAAAGATAAAAAAGTATTTCACTAAAACAATAATAAGATTATCCACGTTAGACATCTTCAGAAAGCTAAAATTATCCATGGCTCGAATGCTTACGGAACTAAGGGGAAAAAATTACGGCTGCAATTGACTGAATAGCATTTGAAATAGCATTATGGATACACCCGAACAAACTGATAAATGATGTGTGATATGTGCGAAAAAGAAATTGAAGACAGTTAAAAGGGATCCACAAGCTAAGCAAAGCAGTCCCATGAGCCACTCGAGCAATGAGAATAATTTGTCTTCATGATCAACAGTAATGAGAATTGGCATGCAATTTTGGCTATCGAAGGAGGCAATAATTTAT